TAATAAAAAGTTTTATAAAGAGATTTAGCTCACTGTGCAGCTACAGAATGCTTGTGTTTCCCAAGGGACTGGTCCAGTTCAGCAGTATTCAGCTGAATAGTGCCGGTTTAAAGTATTTAAGAGAAGCTCATTGGACACATTTTGTGTTAGATGTAATTTGTTTCTATGCTACTGTTAAACAGCCAAGCCCATGTCAGGAATTTTTTGAAATATGATTTTTTTTTTTGGAAGTAAGCTAAAATCATCGTTGAATGAGATTTTTAAAAGCAAAAACCTGCAGAACATATGACAAATGAAAAACCATATTATTTTAAAAAAATAATAGAATGAAAAAGTGGTTTATTTGTCCTCAGTATTCTGTAGCTTAATTATTTGCCACATAAAATAATACTTCCTCTTACCAATTTTAAAAGGAGCTCCTTTTTTTAACTTCATCTTTGAGTATTAGGTCCTATTTACCCAGGTCTCAGTAAGCTAAAGAGTATAACGATCAAGGGCATTTCTTGCAGCCAGCGGTACTTTTTTGGACTGATTAGGCTTAGAAACATAGGCAGAGTGATTAGGAACACAGACCTGACATAACTAGTCTTAAGCATAAGAATAGTTACTATTACTTTTTGTATACAACACATAAAAAGTAATTTTGCTGAAAGAGAATCAAATTCCTTCCTTCCTTTCTTTACTATCCACTATTCTAATTTGATATCTAAGTTCTGATGAGACTGATCTTTGCCCCGTTGCCCTTCTCCAGTCTCCTCTGAGATCTGTCAGTCTTTCTGTATAGGTTCTGATACTGTTCCCATCACCCAAGTATTTGAACAGTTAGTTAAAATCAGAAACAGCCACAGAAATGCCTGCTCTAGTTAGTTTTCCATACATTAATTCTGAGTGGAACTATTGACAAACCCTATATTCAGCCAAGGTGTAGCTGAGATAGAAGTGTCATCACATTATATCTGTCCTACCAATGCAGTCATAGTTTATTTCTCCAATTCTCCACTGGATGCATGCGCACACGTGCGTGTGTGTGCGTGTGTGTGCGTGTGTATTTACAGGAGGCATCGTTGGAAGCCTTTGTGGGCCAGGGCACAGCAATGAGAAGGAGGGGAAAAGGTAGAATTCAGGCACAGCCTTATTGTGTCCTAGAATTGGACATCACCTCCTGACATGGGATTTCCCCCATTTAAGCAAGTGAAAATTTAAGCAGTAAAATGGGACTGTGTGTGTCAAGGAAGGCCAAAGTGGTCTCTTCGCTTTCATTAGGAAACTAGTGTCTTCAAGTGAGTTGTTATAGGGAAAATCCTCTAGGTAACACTTAAAAGGCTTCTTGAACACCTGAAGAGGAAAAATATCATAACTCAGTTTTGTGGTTGATAATTTGCATATTGTGTTTTGTTTTGTATGATTTTATTTCATTTCCTTCACTTTAGGATATGCTCTGGATTCCTTGGAGCATTTTTCGTTTATCTCAATCGCCAAGTGGTCCTATGCATCCGGCGTCATACAGCTCTAAGCCAGTTTCTCACCAAATAGTGAGTGCATTTGAGGATACTCTCTTTTAGGGATCAGGTTTTGATGCCCTGCTGGCACTGGAGAGTAGCAAATGCTTTCTGGAAATTAGTAGAACTATTTGAGATGTAAGATGGTAAAAATATGAGAATATGAGTTTATTTGAGAGTAACATATCTATATCTGCAAACATAAAAATAATCTGTTCTAAGCTGGATTTTCTTCTTGACTAGCTCCAACTGTTTCACATAGCTTCTTGATTTTAGAGGGAGACTTTACTGCAATATTTATTAAGAATGCAAGGGAAACATTTGATTGAACAGGAAATGTTCTTAATTAGAAAATCAATTTTCATGTTTCTTAAGTTTTTAGAATACATTAAAGAAAAAATAATTCACAATTTGACCTAGCAATTCAATATTGTATATGTTTTAAGAAAATTAGATACAACTGAAATGCAACTGCATCTTAAAAATCTAAAATAAAAGGTTTTTTAATCAAAATGTATACAAAAACGTAAAGAATCTGCAGCAGCATTCCAATTATTGCATACTTAAGAATCAAAACCTGAAACTTATAGTAATCAAATGATATGAATTGGCGCACGGAAGAGAAATGTGAAACAAAATAAAGCAATAAAGATTTGATAAGGCACTTAAATATTTTTTGTGCTCTCTAATAAATCTAAAGTTATTGTTAATAACCTGAAGAAGAAAAGGTGTCTGATTTTAAATATCTTCAGTCTCTTTACAGAATAAATGTGATGCTATGAGAATTCTTGAAGTTGAGAGTATGCAGGTCCTACATTTGTTAAGAACTTGCAGATCTGAGCAGAAAAAAATCTCTAGTTAAAAGGAAGTTCAAAATAGCTTCATTTATGATGTGGAAGAAAAAATGTCTTTCTTTATTATGTAAGATTACCTGCAAGCACCTGCAGAGCAATCAGAATTGTAACAAAGTAAATATAGAAGTGGAGCGAAGCCTGAAAAGCAAGGAATTTACTTTAAATTTTTGACTAATTTCTCAGAATGTTATAGGTTCTTAGACTGCAATAAGTTAAAGATTATATGCTATAGCTTCTTGAATAACATAGCATTTCAACCAGAAACCCCCGTAATGAACACAGTAACTTGTCAGGGGAGGCCTGGCGATGCCAATCAAGCATGTGGAGGCAGCCTAGGCTCAGTTTGCCTTAGTGTCTGTGAGGGCACACCCCTGCAGAAACCCAGCCTGGGGTTGAACACAATAGTGGCAAAACATGGATGGCTTCAGCCTGCTGTCCAGCCATGTCCCACATGGCCCAGGACAACCAGATGCCATTGGCCACCAAGGAGATGCCTCTCCTAAAATTGTGACAGTCAGCAATTCAACAGAAAGTAAAGCAATTTTTCACGGAAGAATTAATGCAATGGGGGGATGCATGCAGAAATCTATAAAATACCTGTGTTTACCCAATAGGATACAATATATAGTATGGGGGACGGGGAGACAAAAGTGGAATAATCAGGACCGCTGGAGGAGATGCTAGCTTTTGGGAATGGGTCAGCATGCCATTATAAATGCACATCACCCCTGTGTATTTAATTCTGTGCATTTCATACATTCCTGCATGCATCCATCTCACCCTCCCTCCCATTACATTGTGACTGAAAAAATTGCTTTGCCATAAAGAGTTAAACTCTTCATGGCTGATGATCATCAGTGGAACAGAGCATTAAATTGTCAACAATAGAACTCCGGAACAGATGTGGCAGATATCATTCATAGAAATAGCAGTCATAGTCCTGAAGTGATAGTGGTACAAGAATGTGAGGTTATATTTTAATAAAATTCTCTTCTCTCTTTTCAGCCGCCTCATATACCCAGGAGTTATAACCTTCCTTATAGCAACTGTGACGTTTCCTCCAGGGTTTGGGCAGTTCATGGCGGGAGAGGTGAGAGTGGGACGTGCATTTGCAATTCTGTGTAATTCTGGGGAACAGTTCCCCCTTCTCCTATGCCCCAAAAATGCTTATATCATGGAAACGAGAAGGAAGATTTGAGAGCAGTTTGGACTGGAAAGGGACTATATTCTAAGACTTGTGATCTCTGCTATCCCCTTCATATAAAACCTATAAAATGTTGCGCTCTCTTAGGCAAATTTATAAGGAAGGTGTATATTAAAGGAGATTAAGTGGTTATCCCTCCAGCAGTTCAGGTAAAGTCCTGTCTCTCTTACTGAAGATTAAAAACATGAGAAAAATCTCATAATAATGATATGTTTAGAAGTAAAAATCTTCTTGACTTTGTAGTAACAGAGGTAGAACATTAATGCATCTAACGTCATGGCTCATCGCTGTTTTCTTCCTGTTTAGTTGATGCCACGGGAAGCCATCAGCTCTCTCTTTGATAACTATACCTGGGTAAAATACACAGGGGACCCCCAGATCCTAGGGAAATCTGCTGCCTGGATCCATCCCAAAGTCAGTGTCTTCATCATCATCCTCCTTTTCTTTCTCATGAAGGTAGGAAATGCACACTACCATAAACTGTCTCCACTCAGGGTGAAAATTCTCCATTAAAAATAGTTTAATAAGTTAATAGTTTAATAAGTTAACAAGTTTAATAGTTTAATAGTTATTAAAAATAGTTTGTGCCCTGCCAACGAGAAGCTGCTGGGTATTGAATGAAGTACTACAACTAGAGTGGGGTCTTACATCTTTTAATGTGATGTTTGCCCACCTTGAATGCAAAATGACCAATATTATTAGGGAATAGGTTCCTGGCCTTAATTTACTGACTTTCCTCCCTCCTTGCTAGTTCCTCATCCCTCCTGCTGA